GTTGACTGCATCAGTTGCCTTTCCAAAGATATTATATCTGCTTCTTCAATCTCCCTATATGAGAGAGGAAAAAAACGTGCTGTTAGATAGCGATGTCTTTAACACAAGTCTGCCAATCCATTGGATCAGTGTAGACCCACATACATCACAGAGATGACAAGCCTCTGGAAATAGCTCATAATATTATCCCAACTAAACATCCATCACTATTTATTTCATTCAAGATCACATGTGAAATATAAGTTTCCATGTTGTGAAGTTTCTTTCCACATTTTTTTCTTAAGAACATGCAGGTGGCAGTATATACACGGCATGCATGTGACAGTATATACACGGAGTTCTCATTATGTATGATTTATCATGTAACTCATTCAGTTGTACGCTATATGAAAAAACACTCTTATTGGTTGCCAAATATATCTAATATAAAAAAAGAATGATATGCATAGCAGCTTGAGAAATAGATTTGAATATTAGTACCTAATGAAGAGGAATATATAGCTGTAGGGTAAATTTACAGCTCCAAATCCAGATAAGACAGCCATTAAGGTCACACCAATGACCCCAATTCTACTGACGAGCTGAGGCATTGTAAAAAAACCTTCAAAATAAATAGGATTTTTAAGTCCATAAGTTCAATAGACAACAAAAATAACACAGAAATGAGAATGTTGGGATGCAAAAGCTAATGCCAATCAGAAGTAGACAAGCAAAGAATAAAGAATAGTTCATTTCGAGCATTTTTTCTGAAATTATTTAAGGTCAGGTGACGCTGTAGTCTTATGATAACAAAACTTCATCTCAATGCTTCATTCCTACAAGACAGCAATGTATGGAAGCTAAAAAGGAAAGAAGAACCAAAGTTATCTTATATTTGACAACACGGATTCAAACAATTGAGATTCAATGGTCTTTATAACATAGCATAAACTGAACAAGACACTCAGATTCATTGATCCCCATAACACAAACGATTCAAGTTTCAAAAGAACATAGCACATCATTGATTCATTACACATAAACATCAACATAACACATACAAACTGATTCATTACACATAGAAACTGATCTATTACACATAAACATCAACATTACATACAGAAACTGATTTATTACACATAAACATCAACATTACACATACAAACTGATTCATTACACATAAACATAACAAGATCAATACATTCAAAACAGATCAAGATCAATACAATGAAACGAAACAACACATAAACAGAAACTTAACAACACACAAACAGAAATTTAATAACACACAAAAAGAAACTATATAAGGCTACATCATCTACAAACGAAACAATCAAAGAAACCTAATTTATCTCAGAACCAAATTCATCACAATGGAGTAAATCTAAATCAGCTTCATCACGATCTGTATTTCTAACAAGCATAGCATCACAGAACCCTAAAATTGACTGTTTATTGTATCAAAGAACCCTCCGATCAAAACCCAATTATGATAACCATAATATCGAACACAATCTAATCCCGAAACAAATAAACATAATATCTCTAACACATCAAATCCTCTAATTCATCACAATGTAATAATGTAAACTCTTTGAATCGTACCATTACAGAGAGATTGGAGCATCAGAGAACAAAAAATCCCTCGATTTCTTTCACCACAACAGATGTCGATTTCTGTGGCCAAAGAACCCTAACTCCGGTGGAAACAGCTCGCAACGACAGCCGGAGATGATGATTACGACGGCTAAGAAGACGATTTTGGTGGCTACTCTCCTCTGAAATCAACCCTTCGACATGAATCGCCATCGATATTGAGAGAGAAAGAGAGAAAGAGAGAAAGAAAAAAAAAAACAATTTACGCGTCTAATTTTTTTTTTTTTTGGATTTGTTTTTATGTGCACCCAATATTATTGTGACACGTACACAGTTCTAAACTTATCTAAAAATCCCGATTGTAAAGTTATTCCTCATTTTACATTTAACCGGTCCGGTTAAATGATTGGCTTGATAGCCTAATAATCTCATCTGTCTAGTATCTAAAAATACTCGAGTATTTTTTACCGAGATAGAGTTACAGTTAATTTAAATAGGTAAAGATATCCACAAAATCCAAAAATCCAAATATTTTGGAGATGTTAGGTTATTACTGTTATAAATATTACTAATATATTATAAATATGTAATTATATTGTAAGTATTTTTGGGTACTTTTCGGGTCGAATTGGGGTTTGGGTGTTTGGATTTCGAAGTTTAGGATTCGTTGAGTATTTTAAAATTTTGGATCCGGATTCGGATCGGGTTTGGATTTGATAAGTCAGGTTCAAATATATGCCCAAGCCTAGTCACGCTTACCTTCATGTTATATTCAAAGAAAATTAATGTTGCATTATAAGTATTCATATGTTTGTTTGGAGAACTAAACCGAATTTAAACAAGTGACAAAGCTAGCATGCAAATTATGAACAAAATGTTACTAGATGCATAAGTGTAAAAATACTTGAGTTTATCAAATCATGTATCCAAGAAATATTGATTTTAAATAAACGGTTACACAAACCGCACTAAAGAATCTGATCTTGTAACTCAACCGAATAATCATAAAATCCAAACGAATAATGAATTCTTCTACTTAAATTACATGAACCGAACTAAAATTTATAAATCCAATCTATTAATCAAACAAATTACAAGTAGTTGAATATTTTTATATAGTTGGTTTCCTATAATAACATTACCGTTGTATATTTAATTAAGATATATACACAGCTAATATTACCGTTGAGATGATTAAAAAAGGTGAGCCATGAATGTTACTATCGAGAGCTAATGATGACATATATGCTTTGTCGTGTAATGAATACGAGTAGATACTACTAGTAACTCACTCACACGGTCTAACATATGAATTCCCGATTTTGCCCTTGTATGTTTTCTGATTTTACCTTTTCGTGCCCCTACCCACACAGTTCCTCGGAAAATTCGCTCTCTCACTCTTCCAGCTGGAATCCAAAGCAAACGATGGAGACAAAGCTTCTCTCTCTATCTCTTTGATTTCTGCAATTTTTGGTGTCTCTTTTGGATGATTTTACTAATCTGAAAGAAAAAAGAAAGTTAGATCTTTTGGATAAATTTAGAGATGAAATCTTCGACCCGGCTTGACTCAGTTGCTTTTCAGCTCACTCCCACTCGAACCCGGTAACTTAAATTTCGTGTTGAAACTCTTGATTGATCCAAAATGTTGAATCTTTTTGTGTGGAAGTCGAAAGGTTTCATTTTTTTTGGGTTCCTTGATGGGATCAAGACTCAAGAGTCGTTAAATTGTTAAACTTTGTGTTAGTTTTTGTATGAAAGATTGCATATTTGGGTTCCTTGATAGGATCAGGAGTCGTTACATTGTTATACTTTGTGTTAGTTTTTGTATGAAAGATTGCATTTTTGGGTTCCTTGATAGGATCAGGAGTGTTACATTGTTAAACTTTGTGTTAGTTTTTGATATGAAAGGTTGAATTTTTGGGTTCCTTGATAGGATCAGGAGTGTTACATTGTTAAACTTTGTGTTAGTTTTTGATATGAAAGATTGCATTTTTGGGTTCCTTGATAGGATCAGGAGTCGTTAAATTGTTAAATTTTGTGTTAGGTTTTTGTATGAAAGATTGTATTTTGGGGTTCCTTGATAGGATCAGGACTCAGGAGTCGTTACATTGTTAAACTTTGTGTTAGTTTTGTGGGAAATTGTTGTATGGAGGTCGTAAGAACGGAGTTTTGGGTTTTTTTTGGTAAGATCAAAAGTCGTTAAATTGTTGAATTGTGTGTTGCTTTTGTGAGAAATTGTTGTATGGAAGTCGAAAGGTTATGTTTTTATGGTCCTTTAGTAAGATCAGAAGTCGTGAAATGCTGAAAACAAAGTATTAGTTTTGTGAGAAATTGTTCTGTGTAGAAGTCGAAAGATTGCATTTTGGGTTACTTAATAAGATCAAAGTCATTGAAGTTTATAGGTTTGTTATTGTTACCAAAAGAAGAACCAAACTTAAGTCTTCTTCTTTGGATTAATTAGGTTGGTAACAACAGCTAATGTGGAACTTCTCTCTTTAATTGTTGTGAACACTTGTTTTCATAAGCTTTACATAAGCAGAATCTCGTTAAAGATGTTAAACTATGTGTGACTTTTGTCAAGAATGTTCAATGAAAATTCAAAAGAACGCATTTTTTGGTTGCTTGATAAGATCAAAAGTTGTTGAATTTTTTATGTTTATTTGGTTTCAGGTTTGATCTGTTAGTAACAGCTAATGGAAAAACTGAGAAAATAGCTACAGGGTTGCTTGATCCTTTTCTTCCTCATTTAAATACTGCAAAAGATCAATTAGCAAAAGGTGGCTACTCGATTATTCTCAAGCCTGAAGCTAGCGACAATGCAGCTTGGTTCACTAAAGGAACAATTGAAAGGTCTCTATCATATACATTAGTTGACTTTATATGGAACTTCTTGTACTGGGGTTGGACACTTTGAGTTGAGAGTGTTTTCTTCTTTTGTTCTCGTTAGGTTTGTTCGATTTGTGAGCACTCCGGAAGTCATTGAACGTGTTTACACTTTAGAAACTGAGATCATACAGATCAAGGAAGCTATTGATATTCAGAACAACTCTGAAACGGCACTGACTGTTGTAAGTATACTGCGGATTCTGAAATACTTTGTTTGATGTATGGTTAGAAGTATTTAATTAATATTGTTTAAACAGGTGGGAGGTAATCAGAGAGAGAAAAAAGCAGATAGTATAGAAGGTATGCTAGAACCATTAAATTTGCAATTTATGTGTCTATATGTTAAAGCTTTGGATTTTTAACATGTTACACTATCACAACATATAAAATGGAAATTAGTATCCCTGTCTGCTCTTTATCTTTCAGTTTCACCAATATGTTAAAATGTGAATCAGGTAGCAGGCCTTTGCTACATCTCAACGAGGAGAAAGCTATTGTCCTTTACGAGGTTAATTATAAGTGAAATGGTTTCTTTGAAGGTTTTCTTCTCATATTTTTCTTGGGAACAAACAACTTATTTCATCTACTTGCAACAGCCTGACTCACATCCAAAGCAAGCAAATCGGTCTACTGCATCAGACGAAAACTCTAGGTATACCCCTTTCGTATACCCCTTTCCATGAGAGATAATTTTGTTCATTATGTTTAAGAAAGAGAGTACTTGAGTATTTGATTGGTAATATGTGGAATTGTTATCAGAGCTCAAGTCCTGAAAGTTCTAGAGACGCGAAAGATAATGTTGCAGAAAGAACAAGGAATGGCCTTTGCACGTGCTGTGGCAGCTGGTTTTGAGGCTGATGATATGATCCCTCTAATATCTTTCGCCAAAACTTTTGGAGCCACTCGTTTGATGTGAGAACAATATATTTTACACCCATTAAAGTGTTCAAGTTTAAAAGAATGTTTTCATAGACTTAGTTTTCATATTTGTCTTGAACAACTTTATAGGGATGCATGTTTGAACTTCATGGACTTGTGGAAGAAAAAGCATGAAACTGGCCAGTGGGTTGAAATTGCAGCAACAGAAGTAATGCAAACGCAGCCAAATATCTGTGCAATGAATGAGTCAGGGATTATGTTTGCAAATGCTGCTAATATGCCTGGGACACCTGAAAATAGTGGTAAGATGATCCTTTTAAGTCATAGTAGCTGTGGGTTGAAGTCTTTTTTTTTACATTATTTGGCATTGCTTTCGAACAAGTGATCTTTATTTCAAGAAACTTCTTATATCCAGATGCGAGGTCTCCTACAGATAATAAACCAAATGGAAATCAAGATTATGTGCAAGGACAGCATCCTCAGCCGATGTATGCACCCTGGCCAGTTCACTCTCCGCCAGGTACCTTTCCTGTATTTCAAGGATATACGATGCAGGGCATGCCGTATTACCCGAACTATCCAGGAGCTAGTCCATATCCATCTCCTTATCCGTCTACCGATGATTCTAGACGTAGTTCTGGCCAAAGAAAGGCTAGGAAACATCATTCATCTTGTAGTGATGAATCTGAATCTGAAGATCAGGAAAGAGAAAAAGGGAAATCAGGTAGGAGAAGGAAATCAGGGAAGGTGGTGATTCGGAATATAAATTACATTAATTCAAAGAAACAAGATCATTCAGGATCAGAATCTGATGCTGATGACAATCATGAAGAAGGGGCAAGAGGAGAATGTTACAATAGTAAAGAAAGAGCAACAGAAGGAACAGAGGCTGACACTGGTGATTGGCAAGCCTTTCAGACTTATTTATTGCAAGATGCCGATAGAGATGAACGTACCAGTGACCATATGATGGAAAAGGAGATTGCAGGGAAGAAGAGGCAAGGAAATGGGAAGTATGATCCTTTGGCATATGATGAACGTGAATCAGGAAAATATCAAGAAAGAGATGCATCTGATATTCGGAATGGTAGTGTGACTCGTCGAATCAGGGGATCTAGTGACTCTTTCATGGTTCACCAGAGAGATAATGGTTTTGAGAATTCTTCTGATCCTCTCAACCTGAATGGATTTGATAATCCAGGGAATGGTCTTGATAAGAGATCATCATTTAACATGGACGATGACTCTTATATTGTTGCTCGGGGATCTGCAGCGCTAGATGAAGCTGGAAGACATAAGAGAAATGCTATATACATCGGGTCAGAGATCTCTCCGTGCCACCAAACTGATGGAAATGAAAGGAAACAGGTAAACTATGAGCCTCATGATCTGAGCCTGATACCAGAACGGGAAACAGAGAAGTTATCAGCTGGGTATGATCCTGCACTAGAGTCTGGATCCAAAATTTTAAAGAAGAATAACGAGGCAGCTGGAGGTGTTAAGAAGTCTGTGAAAGATCCAAAATCAAGACTTTCTAAAGATGCTGCAGATAAGAGGAAGGCTTCAGGGCCAATACGGAAAGGACGACCTACAAAGATGAGTCCTTTAGATGAAGCAAGAGCACGTGCTGACAAGCTTAGAAGTTTCAAAGCTGACCTCCAGAAAATGAAAAAGGAGAAGGTAAAATCTCTGTTTAAACAATTTTATGATATAATTGCATATATAAGTAACCATCTAGAACGCAGAATCTCAATGGATATAATCCTACATGTAATATAATCTGTGCGTCATACGCTCTTATTGCCATCGCTTCTTGTTTTAGGAAGAGGAAGAGAGGAAGCGCATCGAAGCTCTGAAAATAGAAAGGCAAAAGCGGATTGCTTCTAAAAGCAACTCTGCCGTAAGTCAGTCACAGTTACCTGCACAACAAACAAGAAAACCAATGCTAAACAAGTTTTCTCCCGGCGCTCCTAGAGCCTCTAAGTTTAGTGACTCTGAACAAGGTTCACTATCACCTCTCCAACGTCTTCCCAGAAGAACTGCTTCTTTAGGGTCAAATGACTATCAGAAATTCCCCAAGAATAATAAACTGAGTACTGTAAGTAAGTCAACAGGAAATATGCTAACAAGGTCGATACCACAGTTACCTCCATCTAAAAAAGAAAGCATAACAACAGGAACTAGGCTGACCAGGTCGATTTCACCATTACCTCTGTCTAAGAGAGAAACCAGAGTGAGTCTTGATAGTCAGAACAAGTCGGTTTCAAGGACAAGACGGATATCAGAACCCAAAATGGGTAGTAATAGTGCACCAAGTGCTTCAGTGAGGGTACGACGCACAGTAGCATCAAAAGAAGTGTCTGATGCTCCTGAGATAAAGAAACTATCTGCCATTGTTAACTATGATATAGCAAAAATCGCATCTCTTCCGGAACTGAAGATAAAACCAGCCAAAGGTCCTACAAATGTTCTGGTAAAAGGGGTCGAGAAATTTAAATCTTCATCTTCTGATATTGACCCAAATGGTAAAAAGAACAAATCCTTGGGACAAAATGATGTTGATGAAACTCCAGAGATTGAGAAGACAGTGGTGATGGTGTTGCCAAGTTCAGCTCGAAGTATAAGTAGAGATCAGGTGAAACACGAGAAGTCTATGGTAGTCTCTGAAAACTCCACCATTCGTGAAGGAGTTGATAAGGAAACCATTGAGAGTGGCAACGATCTAGTCTTGGTAAGCACTCGTGTTCTAGCTGGAACATTTTTATTTTCTGTTTAAACGATTTTAATGATGGTTATTTTGCTCGCAGGTTAGACTGGAGACTCTGAGTGACTTAGTAACAGAAACACCAAAGTTTCTGACAAGTCAAAGTATTGTTGCGAAACCATATGAAGCTCCACATGCTCGGGTTTCTTCGTTAGAAGATCCATGTACAGTGTACTCGGACTGTTCCCAAGCACCCCCACCAAGCTTATATTCAAATGAAACAGAGCAAGAAACCGTCAAAGTCCTTGTACCAGAGAAGAAGATAAGTGAGGCATCAGAGAAATCTCAAACAAAAGAGTCAGCGTCAAAAGGGTTTCGAAAACTGTTGAAATTCGGAAAAAAGAGTCAGTCTTCATCTACAAGTGAGCACCAAACCGAGTCTAATAATGCAGCTAGCAACGAGGTTCAGGTACCAGCTGTAACTGCGACCACGACAAGTGAAGGTAAGTTTATAACCTAGGGAAAATTTTTGTACCTCAACTAGAACGTTGTACAAAGCCTTGTTATCTAATTCGGAGGGGTTGAATTTTCTTTGTTATCCAGCTTTTACATTGAAGAATCTCATATCTCAAGATGAAACACCTACAGCAGCAGCCGCTTCACAGAAATGTTAGTAAACAACCTTATTTTGTCCTTAGAAATTTTCTGATTCTTTACTTTGATCAATAATCTAAGTAAGGTCTCATGGTGATCCTTAAAAACTGATCTGAGTCTATAGATTTGCTCACTTTTGTTCATGTTTCTTATGTTTTTGTAGCTTCTCGCCATTTTTCATTACTGTCTCCTTTCAAGAACAAGAAGGTGGTATCTTGAGGACAAGAAAATCAGAGATCATCTCCATTATACAGCTTTGCAATCTTGTAGTGTATAACTTGAGTATTTATAAATGTATCCAATATCGAGCCTCTTCTGCAACAATGTCGGAAACATTTGGTTCCAAATGCAATGAAATGTGTTTTTGTTTTAGCATTTTCTTTTCCCACCCTTTTTTTTTTTTTTTTTCCTACTATAATTAAGAGGTTTGGGCCGAAATCCATACATACTCTCAGGCCCAATACCAGAGCATGTTATATGGTCTCGTCCCAAACGTTACTCGAAATCGGCGACCTCTAAGCTTTTGCCAGAGATCTTTATCAATTGAGTTATTAGCACTTGGTAAAAAAAAAAAAAATGATGGATATAATTAACATATAATAAATACAAATGTTATGAGAAAAATTTGTATAACACAATTTACACAACTTAACTTTGTAAATATACCAAAAAAAAAGAGAAAAAAAAAATGATTTGGATATATTATATTATCTTTTACCCACAAAGAGTAATAAATCTAAAAATTATAATATCTTGATTGAATAAATTAGTGTTGGCAAAAAAAAAGTGTCAAATCTAAAAATCAATCCTTGAATCTAAAAAGAGAAAATGCCAAATAAAGTTATTTTTATTCAAGTGTATCAAAATCTATCTACATGTCTAAATTTAAACCCACTCCATGTGTCTTATAAATGGAATAGAACCAAACAGAATCATCCAGAAACAACACACACACAAAAAGAAAAAGATATCCAAAAACCAAAAGATCAATAAAATTCAATAGCAAAAGAACTTTTAAAGGCAAAACAATAAGCCTTGAAGATTATGCGAATGGAGTGTTCCATTCGATATCTAGAGCCTTCTTCTTTTGTATCGAATGGAATATTCTTTTGTGCTGCTATGGAGATTCACCATTATTGCTCATATAAATCTTAAACGTAGTTCTTTAATATAAATCTTTGTTCTGCAAGAAACTCAAGAAACCATGGCTCTTGAAACCATGGCATTGTCTACATCTTCTACCATGTTTTCATCAGGTATATAAAATATCAAATGGGTTCTTGAAATATCTCTTCTTTTCTTGATTATTGCTTACATGAATTGGTTTTGTGTGTGTATGTGTGTTTTGGTTTCAAAGGTGTTGTTGAAGATGATGATAAGAAGAAGCAAGAAGCATTTGTTTTCCCTAAATTTGTTTTGATGGGTCATAGAGGATTTGGTATGAACATGCTTCAATCTCCGGATGAGAAAATGAAATTTATCAAAGAAAATTCTCTTCTTTCTTTTAATGTTGCTGCAGATTTCCCCATTGACTTCATTGAGTTTGATGTCCAGGTTTGTGTTTTATTAACCCCTAGAATGTGATCATATTTTGTTTATATCAAGTTAGAAAACCACAAATAAAACCAATGATCTGGTTTCAACTATATGTTTTGTAAGTAAAATTTTGCTTAAAATGCAAATTACAATTTAGGCATACTAAATCAAGAATGTAACTATTGTAGGTAACAAGAGATGGATGTCCTGTAATTTTCCATGATATCTTCATGTTCACGCAAGAAGAGGTTTATGATTTATTAATTTTCACGTACAATCTTAATTATTACTGATTAATAGCTCTAAGTATTCATAACCAAGACATAAAAATCTATTTCCAGGGAGTGATTATTGAGAATAGAGTAACGGAAATGGCTTTACATGAATTTCTCTCATACGGACCACAAAAAGACGGTACAAATGTAAAGCCTATGTTTAGGAAGACAAAAGATGGTCGAATTTTCGAATGGAAAGTCGAAAAGGATGATCCTTTGTGTACTCTTGAAGATGCATTAGTAAAAGTTAAACAGTCGGTAGGATTCAATATCGAGCTCAAATTCGATGATAATATTGTGTATGGAGAAAAGGAGTTATGTCTAACTCTTGACAACATCTTGAAGGTAAAAGACATATATATTGTTCACCCAAATGTTCTTATGGCGATAAACAATCTCAATCTTTTTAATGAACAGGTTGTAAATGACCACGCGAAGAACCGACCCATTATCTTCTCGAGCTTTCATCCTGATGTGGCTCGACTCATTAGGAATATGCAGATGATTTATCCAGTAAGATTGCTACTTTGGTTTTCACTGACAATTACAACGCAGTTTGTGTCCAAAATTACACTAGACGATAATATATTTATTAATTTATAGTGATTATTAATTGATCGATAGAAGTTTTACTATGTTCAGGTATTCTTCTTAACAAATGGAGGATCTGAAATATATAAGGATGTGAGAAGGAACTCATTAGACGAGGCCATTAAGCTTTGCAAAGACAGCGGTTTGCAAGGGATTGTCTCTGAGGTTAAGGCGATATTAAGAACTCCAAACGCAATCACACGAATCAAAGATTCAAACCTTTCTCTTCTATCTTATGGCCAGCTCAAGTAAAAATCCACTTGAGAATTTTATATCCTTGTCCTTTCTCGCTCGCCTCGCCTATTTTAATTCCTTTGAAACAACCCATCTTTTGTTATTTTCAGCAATGTTGTGGAGGTGGTTTACTTGCAACATCATATGGGTGTGGAGGGAGTGATTGTTGATATAATTGAGGATATCTCTAAAGCCATCACCAATATTAAAGTAAGGAACGAGGAAGATTGGGAAGATAATGGAAGTAAGTCTCTGATTATGTTTGGAGAGGAGAAGAAAAAGGTTAAAGTTTCTATGGATGAAATCAATTTCTTAACTAAGTTCGTACCAAATAATATGGTGCATAATTGTTGGACTTGATAATATGTAGCTAGACTCCAGAATTTGTAAAAAATATAAAGTATTGGTAAATGAACTAACGAGAAATTTGAAAACAAAAATCCAAGGTAATTTGTGACTAATGTAATGTTGTGCTGCATCAAGATGAAATCTCGATTAACAAACTGGTTCTTGGAATGGTCATTTAGAACATGTTCATATCGAAGATTTAGATTGTTGATCGACATAAGAATAGATTAGTTAACAATATGTCATTTACCTAAAAGATGTTATCAAGAGTTTGGCGTATTTCATCTTCTCCATTCATGGTATTATTGTAACGCTCCAACCGTCACCTCACTCAGTAGGTCCTATGCTCTCTCTCGTTCCATGAACCCACATTCTTTAATAGACTCCACATTACAATCATAGTATGTGGGCCCGCTAATATCCGATAGTCAGTTTGCATGTCCGGGAAACTTTAAAACTTGATTACCTACCCTAAGAATCACCACACAATATTTTCTTGTGTTTTGGCCTCACTCACACAGTTCCGACATTCACTTCCCGAAAAATCACCCATCCTTGAACTACTCTAACATAAGCACGCTGAACTGTGGAGTTCTCTTAAGTTCTTTGACCAAAATAATAAATGCACTTTTAGTAACATAAGAGGCCAAATTAATTCATTTAAACCTCTCCGCAAAACCAAGGTCTCACAATTCTCACTCACTAACAAATCGCAACATCTTTGTTGCGCACCAAGACTGTCACTCCCTGACGGTGTAAGGTGACGGTGTGAACCCACTACTCCACACTCGTCAAAGTTCGGCTCTGATATTGGGCTCATAGGCCGGAAAAGAACATGAAATTTACATAAAGAGGTGACGGCCAGAGCGTTACAATTATAATCGAATTAGGGATACATATAGAATCGTAGTGCTGATTAAGTTTTACAAAGGCATTTTAAAGGGTACACAACATATTAACCTTTCCTAATTTTCATTCAAAAATTTCTAGCATCTTTATGCTTCCTTCAGATAGGTTTTTATACCATATTTTTATGATTTAGATGAGAGAAATTCATATACTGCACATTCGTTTCTCTTTTGCTCAATAATATTTCATGAAAAGAAAATTCTGTCTGCTAATGAAAACCTATAAATCAGCGATAAGACTGTTTACGTAAAAAAATAGAACTTCCAATCTATTTTTCCGTGAAAATAAAAATAGCATAGCAATTCACAGCGCAACTATGCATCTTTTGTTATCTTAAAATAGTTATCTATCTTAACATTTTTGAAGTACATTTTGTACTAAAATCTAATTTGGATTATAACCTTTTATTTTGTATTATTTCCATAATCAAACCCTTGACATTTGAATAAATAACAAAACTTAAAAGTAAATTTTGTAATTAACTCACAAGCAAATCGCAAAAATGGAAACAAATATTTATTACATCAAATTTTTTCCTAAACTCTCTCTTTAATAAATCGAATCTCTCTCCAATATATTTATATAATCTTATTTGTTTTTAATTTATATTATTACATAAAATAAATTTATAATAAAAATAAAATTATTTTTCCACACATTTTGCAATTTAAATTTTAGAAAACGGACGCATATATATAACTCAATCGATAAATGAAAAAATATATGTACAACGTCAACATAAAGTATAAAATTTTAGATTATAGTTCAAACCATTATATATGTTCACCACTACAAATGAACATGAACTTTGATTTCTCAGGTATCCAAATTAAAAAATTTATTCAGTTTAATATGGTTCCTTATTTAAGAGAAATAAAACTTTTAAAAGGTTTCAAAATATTATAAATTTTATTTTATTTTTTTAAATTTGAAAGTATTATAAATATTAGCTGAAAATTATAATATTTAATTTAAGTTTTATAGAATATTTAAAATATTAAAAAATTGAACTCTACAAAATTTTAAAGTATTATTAATATTTAAACTCTAAAAATATAATAAAATTGTATGTAAATATGATTGAACGGGTTTGAGTATACATAAATATGATTATACTATTTATTACGGATTGTCTATATTTAAAATCTTTTACGGGTTAAGTTAAAATAAAAAAAATTATTTACAACAAATTGTCTCGCGGTGTATCGCGGGTTGACCATATATATCTATGAATCTACTTATAATAGAAATTCAAAAAATTATATAAAATTAAAATAAAATACACACTTATAAAACTAGACTATATATACCAACTACGAAAATGATCAACCAAACAAATATATCAAGTTATGGATCCGTGGTATACCACGGGGTATATCCTAGTACTCTTTATTTACGGTGCCATATCTATATTAACCTTTTTGAAAACCAATCATAAATATATGTAACACTATTTCCTAAAATTTCTTTCTAACACTAGGTGCATGTCCAATTTCTTTTTATGACATAACTTGTTTATTTTAAATTATTTTACTATATAGAACATACGTTTAACAAAAATATAATTTTTTCGCATATGTTGCAATTTGAATTTTTGAAAACGGACATACATTATCAATAATTTTGGCATATGTACAACGTACGACATAGGATAGAAATAATAGAAAACTAAACTAAATCAGTTTGTATTTTTGTAACATATGCTGGAGTAATATGCGTCTGTTTTCAAAAATTCAAATTGCAACATATGCGGAAACAATTTGTATTTTTTATAGTTTAGTTTCCAATTTTCTTAAATAAATAATAAATGCCAAAGGCAAAGGAATGTAAATAAGTTCAAAATCCAAGTTTTTTTTAAAACCACGAGGTGGTGGGCTAGTGGTTCTAGTTTGGTGGAAGAGTCGACATGTTGGTCTAGTGTAGGGATCGATTCTTCTCATGCGCAAAATTGCTCGTTTTATCCTTTGGCCACATGGGTATGAGCCTTTTGCTAACCTTCATTTATAATATAACCTTCATTTATAATAAAACGTTGATTAAAAAGAAACTCATATGTAACATAAGTAATATCATATATAAATATGATATTGTTTACTTTAAAAAACTACACAACAAAACTCAAAACATTGGCAAAATAAATTCTAACAATCCTGTCTGAAATATTATCGGACTTCCTAAAAAAATGAAGACAATTTTCATGTTTTCAACTCTTCTAATTCTAATTTTATCAAGTAAGTTTAATCTTTGTTAATGTCGTTACTATGTAATTTTGTTTAATTCTCTTGAAATATTAATTTTATAAAGTAATATGAATTCTGAAAAAAAATTTAGGTGCATCAAATATCAAGGCAAAATATGATTATGGAGAAGAAGATCATTATTTGTATTCAGCAGCAAGCCCTCAAATTAATTTTGAATTAGATGAACTTCCACCAGATGAACATATTGAAGTGATGGCTTCTTCAAACATACTTGGTTTTTGTCATGAATGAGCATATCATTGTATGAGACGAAAACGGAAACTTGGTGAATGTCGATCATTTATTTGTCATTGTTCTAGAGAAAATTGGGGTGTTGGACTGTAATTTTTTCCAAATACTTACATATAAAAGTAAAAATAAAAGTAACTTTTTTATAGTTCAAGTTATCTTTTCTTATTAAATGTTTAATATATATCATTTTAACAAATCAAATGGTATGTATATATGTAGTATAACTACAGAGACATAATTAACTAAACTTTTATTTTTGATGCCATTTTCAGTTTTGTTAGGTAAAAAAATATATCAAACATCTTAACATCAGCTCGAGTCGGGAGGAAGAAGATGGTGTTTACCGACACCAACAAACAGTAGACGTGAATTCTGTTCTTAATCGCTTGTTTGTGTTTTTCTGTGTGTGTATAACCTAGTTAATGGGAGAACCGTCTCACTAAGTATTTTATCAAACAACATGAAATTTTATTATTTTTCTTACGTTAAATAAACTTTTCCAAAAAAAAAATTTCAATATATTATTATTTTTGTGGGTGATTTACCTATTATCAGTGTTTGGGTATTTTACGTACTCTTTATATCCTTAAAACTGATCTTGGAACGAATCGAAAACATTATACTCTCTAGATGCCATTAATCATAATTATCAGTGCAAAATTCAAATAGAAAAACTCTTAAAAGGTTGACTTTGTTAAATGATTTAGAAGAAAAAGCCATTACAACCAGTTCCTCAATGACAGAAACAACCAAACCTAATCCCCACTAAGTCAACCCAAACCAATTTTGTCCATTAGCTAGCACACTATGCTTTTGTCTTTTACATACTTAATTATATTAATGTCATGGGCCGGCCTATATCAATGACTGTCTAATAATATCGATAAGATCATCTCCCAAATCATGCATATGTGCCAAAGACTCGAGTGTATAATGCTAAAGTATCATGTTCAAAAATGTAATCTGCTTTCGTTAATCGTTATTTAATACATTTTAGTAAGTTTACTTATCTTTTTATGTCATGAGATCTCATTAATCTTTTTAGAAACAATTTATGGCTATCAAAACACACAAAACAAAGTCATGCGATCGTATGGACTGGGCCTTAAGGGGATTAATGTATGGGCCTATTCCGGAAATAGTCCATTGGACATATGTTTTTAATAAATTGCAAGTTTTTTACAAAAAAAAAAGATGGGTTCCTAGCTAGCACTAGGCGAGTTAGGCTTCATTATATACGTTGACGTTAACTAGTAAAGCACCAAATGGTTGACTATGTTAAATGGTTTGAGGAAGGAAAAGTCCATTTCTTAAGATCCAAAACCTATTCCTCAATAAATGAAGAAAACCTAAACCCACTAAGTCAACCCAAACCTTTTTTTGTCAACTAGCTAGTCACATTATGTTTTTGTCTTTATGTTACAAAGTCAAAGCCACATAGCAACCAAAACAAACTCGATATGATCAATGTTATGGGGCCTAAGATATAAGCTTACAAAGTTATCCACGATGGTTGATTCAAGAAACATGTGGACATTTCTACAAAACCCCATTTGAAGACAAAAGAAAGTTATGATAAGATGACCCTAAATTTAATGGTAATGTTATAGGCTGTCGCAAGTTCAATACATACAAAATATCCATTATTGCCTTCTCATTTTATGAAGAAAATATAATATTAACAATAGTGGTAGATGGCAGATCACAATGCATCTAGATGTATATCAAACGAGGTATGCATGGGAATCAACAAGTTTCGAAAATATATCTTTATCGTGTTTTAGAACACTATGTGTTAGTAAACAACAAAATCAAGTTATTAAAAAACATATTGTGCTTATCACACCTAGTGTGCATTTATACACATAACCCACACACAAATGAGAAAATGAACATAGCTTAAAATTAATGCTATTAATCTATTGTATAAAATAAATTAAGAATTTCAAAACATTTGTTTTAGATACACATAATTTATTACAAATAAACTCACATGACTAGCTCTACTATATATGGTATTATATATATAACTCATATGGATCCCTTCCTCAAAAAAAGAAAAAAAAAGTCATATAAACTCAAACACATGCTCGTATAATTTTTAAAACAACAAAGAATCAATCTCTCTCTCCCTCTCCACCGGTTCGTATAATTTCTTGTTCCCATACTCACTCAAATGGCAATAGATATGATTTATGGCAACGACGCTGTCGAAGACCTTTTGGTTATTGATCCACCTCTCTTCTTTCTGAGTCAAGAACAACATCATAGTCTTATGCCAAATGAAGAGTCCATCACCAACAAGTTCTTCTCATCAACACTTTACTCCGGTCCACGAATCCAAGATTTTGCTAACGTTCTGGCTGATGTGGTTGAACAACAGACCCAACCAGGCCAAGAAATCTCCAAACCAACGTAAACAATATAATGTTTAAAATTATGAAGAACATATAATCTTTGCCTCTTTTTTTTTTTTTAATATATCCTTTTAATGATATGTACTCATTAGTCTCTTGTTTATATTCATGTGTAGGCTTCCACTATTGGAAAGAACTAGTTTGAGCAAAGTGGATAGGTACACTTTAAAGGTGAAGAATAATAGTAATGGACTGAGTGATGATGGATACAAATGGAGAAAATATGGCCAAAAATCCATTAAAAACAGCCCTAACCCAAGGTAAATATATACATGTTTCCTTTCCGAATTCGTATATGCATTCGAATGGCCAAACCGATATGAAGAATCGAGATATCGAACTTTTATGTATAGTACAATTTGTATTTGGTCACAACCCTAATGTTACTATATTTTTGGTGTATGTCAAGGAGTTATTACAAGTGCACAAACCCAATATGCAATGCCAAGAAGCAAGTGGAGAGATCAATTGATGAGCCTAATACATACATTATCACCTACGAAGGTTTCCATTTCCACTACAACTACCCTTTCGTCCTACCGGATACGACACATTGGCCCAATAAAAAGGCGAAAATACTTAAACACGATGATCCAATTAACAAAACATCTCAAACCCAAGAAGAAACCAAACAAGCCCATTTAACTGAGCCTGCCAACCAAAATCATCCAGCCCATAAAGCCGAAGAAAACACACCGGTTAATGAACTGTTTTTCCCGGTTGATCACTGTCGGGGGCAACAAGGGCTTCTAGAAGATGTGGTGGCTCCGGCAATGAAAACTACTCTGGCCAGACACAGTGTTTTGGCATCATCTTGGTCTTCATTGTCGTCGTCTTGTACTTCCTCCTCGTGCTCTTCTTCTCCACCTCTTTCTCCATCTTCTTTATGTTGGTCTCCCAATGTTGACATCACATTTAGTGATGAAATTCTTGAATTACTCCGTCGGATCTCATAACTTTTAAGCATTTATGTTTTATGATATATTTTTAAATAAGTAACTTATATCCACCAAAAGATCATAATACTATATTGTTATAAGAAGATAGACAAAAGTAAGATTGTTATTATCATTTTTGAACTTGAAATTGTGTTTTATATATTACATGAATGTAAAAAAAAAAATAAAAAAAAAAAAAAATTGCTATATGAGTAGTGACGGTGTACGTGCTGCTAAGAGCAAGGTTTGTGTATGAAGCAAACACTTTGTTCGAAAAGGAAAAAAAACGCTCCATACCGTCACTCTTGTCAGTGGTTCCGACATCTTCTTTCGTCCGTGAAACCATCCGAATGTGACTATCGGTACACTATGTTTTAGAAGCTTTAAAAAATTGTTTACCTATACTATAACTCACTACGTAATTTTTTCTTTGTGTTTTTTTTTTCTCATTTGTATGGTTTAGAAAAACACTTTCTCGGCAGGTCAAGCATCAGTAACATAAGTACGCTAAAATATGGAGCTCTCTTATGACATTAACTATATAAACAATTAAAGTTCACTTAGGTAATATAGTTGGCTAAATCAACTCCTTTAAACCTCTTCGCATCTCCTATCATATTGCATGAAATCACGTTGTTAGGCCATGGACATTGCAAGGACTGCATTTGGTCCTAAAAAGAAATTTTTTTTTTTACGATTTATAAAAAAAAAAAACAGACGACCAATCGCGGACCGCCACGTGTCAGTGGGGCCCGCGAAGAAGGAAGGGACCGTCCCTCTTGGACATACGTCCCGCTTTTTTTTTTTCTTTTTGATTTTTTTTTTGATTTTTTTGGGTGGGGGACAGAGCAAGGACTACCAATACCCCTACCCTTATGATTCACTTGTACAACTTGTCTACCTAAACAAATCTTAGTCTTTATAGATAAGACTACAACGATAAAATAAATAAAACTCAAGCTTCCCAAAATATACCATTGCGAGACCCCAGCTTGCGCAGAGGTTTAAATGAATTGATTTGGCCACCTATGTCACCAAAGTGCACTTATCTTTTCGGTCAAAGGTCCTGAGAGAACTCCACTGTTAAGTGTGCTTATGCTGAAGTAATCAAAGGATTAGTGACCTTTCGGTAAGTGGTTGGCGGAACTGTGTGAGTGAGGCCAAAACACAAAGAAAGATCATGTGGTGGTTTGTATGGTCTGTAAACATGTCTTTAAGCATCCTGGACGTAGCTAACCGGCCGTGGATATGAATGGGCTCATTATAGTAACTGAATGTGTGTTTGTAAGAACTCAAGATTGTTAAAACACTTTATTAGCTTAAAAAACTCTCTCAAAAACTTAAGCTCTCAATCTCTTTCTTAGAGCTCACACATTATGTCATGACTCGACATCTCTATATATAACAACACCAATCCTAGTCCTAGAAGGAAATACTCATGTCTAGATAACTCCTAAAACATATAGTCCTTGTCTCATTAACCATAACTCGGTTTAGGACTAGGATGACTTGTTACTCAAGTTAACTTCAAACTTAAACTAACACTGATGAACCTAGTGAGAGAACGTGAGACCCATTAAAAAGGTGGGCACATGGAGAGGTGACGGTTGAGGTGTTACAACCATTAACGAGATGGACTTGCATATATACTCATGATTATCAACCTTACTTGAGGAAAATAATGAATTACTTAGTGAGATGATCCTCTTTGTCCACTAAATATATGAAAAAAGAATCTACCCCTTAACTTACAATCATCGTGGAAGCTCCCTCAATCTAGTGGTTGACCAAGGGTTGATTAGTGCTTCTACACCAAGAAGTATGTAAGCCTAAATATTATGATCTATAATTAATTTGTACATTAAGGAGACAAGCTTACATGAGATCTCCATGATGCACAATAAGAAGAGTTGTATGTCAGAGAAGGAAGAATATGGTGAATCTAATAGAATCGGAGATAATTTTCTTTGGTAAAATCTTCTATTTAATAACTCTCATAATTTGGATTAAATAATAAATCAAGAGTTAAAAAAACAACCACAATAATCAACCATATAATAAAGATATAAATAACAAAAACTGCATCACTATGCAAAGCTAAAACACATAAATACTTCTTGCCATAAGAAAGATCTCCACATACATACCAAGTTCGATTATCTCTCATGATCTTTACATATCTAGTTTCATTGGGTCTGTCAGCCAATTATTGAACTATAAAGAACCTCTCAACTCAATGCAAACCATTGCTACTATTCATCTTCCACAAAGATGGTAATTTTATTTCACATATCAAACATAATGGAGCTAGTACCAAAACATACGGTGTGCGTTTCCTTTGTATTTCTTTGTTTTGGTGCTATGTAGATCTAATACATGTTACTTCCTTTATTTTCTTTACAAAGTTTAAAAGAATCGTATGAATTTAAAATAGATCAAAATTGGTATCGATCGGAACGATATATTCTAACATAATGGAGCTAGTCTTCCAAATAAATCAGTTAAATCAAACATTTAACAAGCACCCAATTATCAGTTCTAATTAACAATTCATTGTTAGTCCACAAACAAGTTTAATCCTATATATTTAAATGTATCATGAAATGTAAGAGTAGGACATGCAATCGCATCTCCACACATCCTCACCTGACTTTGAACTGGAAGTAGAACTGAAAGAGAACGGCTAGAAACGATATGAAACTTGCAGCACAAGAAAAGGATACAAAGACATATTAGGGTTTTTAGTTGAGTTTTGTATTCTATTCATATTTAATGAAAAATGGAGTAATTTGTTAAAGGCATAAGTTATTTTTGTCTTAAATAAGGAGATAATTAAATTTATAATAAATACACTTCTACGTTAAAGTTTAAACAAAAAAATAACTTAAATTGAGTAGCCGATATATTTAACCTTCATTTATAATATAACCTTCATTTATAATAAAACGTTGATTAAAAAGGAACTCATATGTAACATAAGTAAAATCATATATAAATATGATACTGTTTACTTTTAAAAACTACACAACAAAACTCAAAACATTGGCAAAATCAATTTCAACAACCCTTGTTATACACTTGTTCCAACCCTTAATCCGCTTTTCTAAGTTCAGCGATATTGAATCAATCGAGCGGACTTCTAACACTTGTTCTACTTTTGGAAGACCTTGTGTTATATCACCGGATCTCGATTTTTCATATATAAATGTAACTAATGTATCCCCTTCATAAAGAATTTCTCTGTAATGCCCATGAACTTTTGCTCCCGGAGTAGCCAAATAGGGCTTAGCGGATCTTATTACTACAGAATCCCTTTGAACAATTAAAACTTGACCCGATTTTAGGTGCGGTTCTTTTTTGGCTATACATACATTTTCACAAAAAAATTGTCCAAGACTAATTATTGTGGACGTTTCCTCACAATAATTATGATGATAATTTTGATGAAGAAAATACCAATTCAATTTGAATGGATTCAAAACAACGTTACTGTATGGGTCGAGATTACAAATTCTTCCGTTTTCATCGATTAAATAAGAGTTAATTACTTGAAAAATATATTTGAAGTTAATCTTTTCCTATTTGTATTAGGTTTTACTTTTCAACCTTGTATCCATCCTCTATATAAAGGACTCTTTACTCATGAATAAAGGCATCTCGATTCCATCTCGATTCTCTCTAGTTTACAACACGTTATCAGCACGATAGTTCTAAAACCCCTAAAATCGCTAAAACCCTAAAAAACACACATAATCAGATCCGGTCGGTACTGTTCATCGTGATACTGTTCATCATGATATTGTAAGAAAAAACTTCTCACGATTAGCCTCAGCTACGAGACTGTTTTAATTACGATTAGCCGCATCAACATCTCGCGATTCGTAATCCCAATCGCAGTCGCTGGCAATTATGAAACGAACATGATTATAGTCAAACAAACCATAAGCAAGAAGAGTATACATAGATTCACCTCAAGAGAGAGTCGTAGCAATGATGCTTTGAATTTGTTGTACCCATTTTTACAACTCCGAATACACCAGGTAGAAGAATCTTCTTCTTCTTCTTCAACCAAAATTTTAGTATCATCCAGACGAGATCTCAATGCGGAACGATCTCTAGGTTTATTGTTTCGATTTCGAAACTGAAGCATAAACTAATAACTTGAATCTAAGAGATCGTCTGCAACCAGTGTGATACTCTCGTCCAACGGAGACTTTAGTACTAGAAATCGCATTGTCCGAGAAGGATCGGCATTTCTTCACGGCCTTCAAATTGGTGTGGTTGCGATTCGTCGTCGTTGCAGCAGCCATCGGAGATTGAATCGGGGAAGACGAAGCATTTTGGGTTGAGGAAAATGAAATAAAAAAACTGATAGCTTTCTTCTACATTACTTGTGAGCCACTGTCGTTTTGAATTAAACGATGCAATTTGTTTTTCTAATCTGCTCGAAAGAAAAAATTTGTGTTGAGTTTTTTAAGCTTAGTGGTTGAGCAATGGAGTGAACAAGTAGATCGAGCGAAGCTTCCAGTATCAACTATATGTTTCCATGTGATATGGAGGATTCTTTGTTCTGATTCAATTGATCTATGCTTGCTATTTTTAGATGGTCGAGTGTCACATCAGAAGATATTGCATAATAGAGAGAGTTTTGGGTGTGAAAGAAGCGCAAAAGTTCTTAAATTGATATGTGTGAGTAGTCTCTTAATTGGGATTTAGGTTGTTTAGTAGGAGATTCAATGATTTAATAGATTAGATGTCTTAGGAAATTCTTGATCTTTGAGTTCTTCAATTTACATGTTCTCAATGCTAGAATAGGAATGAACCCAAATGACTAAAGTTAATGCCAGAGCAATTAGCTCAATACAGTTACAATAGATGGGGTGCAGAGTTTAATCGTAACATCTATATATATAAAGTTAGCTTTTTCTCTCTTCTCATGATGCCACTTAAGCATCCACCTAAGCCACATTTTTTTACATTAAAATAAATTTAAAACATTCATTTAGTGCATATTTATGCTACTTATTTCATTAATAAAAATTTATATAAATTAAAATAAATTATGTAAATAAATGAAATGTTAAATAAGAAATACTTTCATTTTTTATTAGTTAGTGGTAATAATATAATTCAACTTTCATTTTAAATTGATCATAGTTTAAAATTTAAATGTGTTACTAAGTTTAAAAATGTAAGTAAATTTTAAATTTATGGTAGAATAAAAACAACATTTATGTAATCGTATATATAAAATTTTACAGGGGAAAAATAAAATTGAAAGTGAAATATTAGTTTATAACATTATCAAAAATAAAATGATTTTAATCCAAATTTAAATATTGAAAGATAATAATCCAAGAGAAAATAAATATAATATGTTTTGAAAATCAATTAAAAATAAATAAAATATCACAATATGAATAAAAAATTAACAAAAAAATTATACACCTCCCGCGCGCAGCGCGGGTCAACTGCTAGTATACTATATATCATGAAGTATAAGAATAGGACATGCAATAGCATCTCCACACACACTCACATGACTCTGAACTAGAAGTAGAATTTAAAGAGAACGGTTGAAAACGGCTAGAAACGATATGAAACTTGCAGCACAAGAAAAATAACAAAGACATATTCGGGTTTTTAGTTTCTGACTGAAATTAAATCGATTAAAACTAAACTAAGATAAATTTTATGAACTAAGAAGAAGATATCTTTAGTAGAGTTTTGTATTCTATTCATATTTAATGAAAAATGTAGTAATTTGTTGAAGGCATAAGTTATTTTTGTCTTAAATAAGGAGATAGTTAATATTTATAATAAATACACTTCTATGTTAACGTTTAAACAAAAATAAAATTTAAATTGACTAGCCTATATTTTTAACCTTCATTTATAATAAAAACGTTGATTAAAAAGTAACTCATACGTAACATAAGTAAAATCATATATAAATATAATATTGTTTACTTTTAAAAACTACACAACAAACCTCAAAACATTGGCAAAATCAATTTCAACAACCTTGTTTGAAATATTATCAAACTTCCTAGAAAAATATGAAGACAATTTTCATGTTTTCAACTCTTCTGATTCTTATTTTATCATGTAAGTTTAATATTTGTTAGTGTCGTTACTATGTAAATTTGTTTTAATTCTCTTGAAATATTGATTTTTTAAAGTAATATGAATTCTCAATAAATATAGGTGCATCAAATATCAAGGCAAAATATAATTATGAAGAGGAAGATCATTCTTTGTATTCAGCAGCAAGCCCTCAAATTAATTTTAAATTAGATGAACTTCCACCAGATGAACATATTGAAGTTATGGCTGCTGAAAACATAATTGGCTTTTGTCATGAATGTGCATATCATTGTATGAGACGAAGACGGAGACTTGGTGAATGTCGATCATTTGTTTGTCATTGCACTATAGGAGGTTGGAGTCCTTGACTGTAATTTTTCCAAATACTTACATACAATAAAATAAAGAAAACTAAATTTTTATAATTGAAGATTTCTTTTCTTATTAAATTGTACTATATATCGTTTTAATAATACTCCTATTCCAATACAACTTTTTAAAAATATCACTCTTTCTAATTTTATCAAAAAGTCACAATAAAATTTGAAATTTATCAAAAAATATGTATAAACTTATATTTATAGACACAAATTATCTTTACATGTGTGTAAATTTATATATATTTCATAAGTACCGTATAAATACTTTTGAAAAATCATATTAAAAGCATATAAAAACTGTGTAATCCTTTTAAAAACCTTATAAAAACCATATAAATGCCGTTTATAACCTTTTAAAATTTCTTAATAAAGAACTGGATTAAACCGAGTAAACAAATAATTTGGATGTCTGAGAAAGAAAACTTCCTGCTTATTTCTAGTTGTGAGCATATTAGTCATATTTATAATGGTTTTGAACTATTATCTAAAAGTTTATACCTTATGTAGACGTTTTACATACATAATTTCCTTTATTGATCGAGTAATATACATCCGTTTTTAAAACTTTAATTGCAAAATATGCGGAATTTTTTTTTATTATATATATTTTCTATGTAATAATATAAATTACATATAAATAAGATTATATAAATATATTGGAGAGAGATTTGATTTATTTGAGAGAGTTTTTGGAAAATGTTTTGATTTAATAAATATGTGTTTCTAATTTTGCTATTTGCTTGTGATTAAATTACAACATGTACTTTTAAGTTTTGTTACTTATTCAAATGGCAAGGGTTTGATTATGAAAATATTACAAAATAAAAGGTTATAACCCAAAATATATTTTAGTACAAAATGTACTTCAAAAATGTGTAGATAGTGTTATAACTAAATGGTGGATTGTCATAACAAGCCCAGTTCTGTCCGGCCCATGATCAACCCCGGTCCGGCTCATACTGAGGAGGCTTAATCTTTTCCTATTTGTATTAGGTTTTACTTTTCAACCTTGTATCCATCCTCTATATAAAGGACTCTTTACTCATGAATAAAGGCATCTCGATTCCATCTCGATTCTCTCTAGTTTACAACACGTTATCAGCACGATAGTTCTAAAACCCCTAAAATCGCTAAAACCCTAAAAAACACACATAATCAGATCCGGCCGGTACTGTTCATCGTGATACTGTTCATCATGATATTGTAAGAAAAAACATCTCACGATTAGCCTCAGCTACGAGACTGTTTTATTTACGATTAGCCGCATCAACATCTCGCGATTCATAATCCCAATCGCAGTCGCTTGCAATTATGAAACGAACATGATTATAGTCAAACAAACCATAAGCAAGAAGAGTATACATAAATTCACCTCAAGAGAGAGTCGTAGCAATGATGCTTTGAATTTGTTGTACCCATTTTTACAACTCCGAATACACCAGGTAGAAGAATCTTCTTCTTCTTCTTCAACCAAAATTTTACTATCATCCAGACGAGATCTCAATGCGGAACGATCTCTAGGTTTTGGTTTCGTTTTCGAAACTGAAGCATGAACTAATAACTTGAATCTAAGAGATCGTCTGCAACCAGTGTGATACTCTCGTCCAACGGAGACTTTAGTACTAGAAATCGCATTGTCCGAGAAGGATCGGCATTTCTTCACGGCCTTCAAATTGGTGTGGTTGCGATTCATCGTCGTTGCAGCAGCCATCGGAGATTGAATCGGGGAAGACGAAGCATTTTGTGTTGAGGAAAATGAAATTAAAAAAACTGATAGCTTTCTTCTACATTACTTGTGAGCCACTGTCGTTTTGAATTAAACGATGCAATTTATTTTCTGATCTGCTCGAAAGAAAAAATTTGTGTTGAGCTTTTTAAGCTTAGTGGTTGAGCAATGGAGTGAACAAGTAGATCGAGCGAAGCTTCCAGTATCAACTATATGTTTCCATGTGATCTGGAGGATTCTTTGTTCTGATTCAATTGATCTATGCTTGCTATTTTTAGATGGTCGAGTGTCACATCAGAAGATATTGCATAATAGAGAGAGTTTTGGGTGTGAAAGAAGCGCAAAAGTTCTTAAATTGATATGTGTGAGTAGTCTCTTAATTGGGATTTAGGTTGTTTAGTAGGAGATTCAATGATTCTTGATCTTTGAGTTCTTCAATTTACATGTTCTCAATGCTAGAATAGGAATGAACCCAAACGACTATAGTTAATGCCAGAGCAATTAGCTCAATACAGTTACAATAGATGGGGTGCAGAGTTTAATCGTAACATATACTATATATCATGAAGTATAAGAATAGGACATGCAATAGTATCTCCACACACACTCACATGACTCTGAACAAGAAGTAGAATTTAAAGAGAACGGTTGAAAACGGCTAGAAACGATATGAAACTTGCAGCGCAAGAAAAATATACAAAGACATATTCGGGTTTTTAGTTTCTAACTGAAATTAAATCGATTAAAACTAAACTAAGATAAATTTTATGAACTAAGAAGAAGATATCTTTAGTAGAGTTTTGTATTCTATTCATATTTAATGAAAAATGTAGTAATTTGTTGAAGGCATAAGTTATTTTTGTCTTAAATAAGGAGATAGTTAATATTTATAATAAATACATTTCTATGTTAACGTTTAAACAAAAATAAAATTTAAATTGACTAGCCTATATGTTTTACCTTCATTTATAATAAAACGTTGATTAAAAAGGAACTCATATGTAACATAAGTAAAATCATATATAAATATGATACTGTTTACTTTTAAAAACTACACAACAAAACTCAAAACATTGGCAAAATCAATTTCAACAACCTTGTTTGAAATATTACCAAACTTCCTAAAAAAACATGAAGACAATTTTCATGTTTTCAACTCTTCTGATTCTTATTTTATCATGTAAGTTTAATATATGTTAGTGTCGTTACTATGTAAATTTGTTTTAATTCTCTTGAAATATTGATTTTTTAAAGTAATATGAATTCTGAAAAAATATAGGTGCATCAAATATCAAGGCAAAATATGATTATGAAGAGGAAGATCATTCTTTGTATTCAGCAGCAAGCCCTCAAATTAATTTTAAATTAGATGAACTTCCACCAGATGAACATATTGAAGTTATGGCTGCTGAAAACATAATTGGCTTTTGTCATGAATGTGCATATCATTGTATGAGACGAAGACGGAGACTTGGTGAATGTCGATCATTTGTTTGTCATTGCACTATAGGAGGTTGGAGTCCTTGACTGTAATTTTTCCAAATACTTACATACAATAAAATAAAGAAAACTAAATTTTTATAATTGAAGATTTCTTTTCTTATTAAATTTATACTATATATCATATTCACAAACCAAAAATTACAATGGTATATATACAACAAAGTTTATTTATGCATTGAATATTTTATTTTTGGAAAGTTGTATGTATAAATAAACTTTGTTGTTGATGTTATGAATAATTATATAATTGCACAGATGCCCATTATCGGCCTATTAGAAACTAAACTACTTGGTCCATAGCCTAAACCTTAATCTTGTATTCATATATTCTAGTATCTAACCCGTTGTACACCGCATGACTATGTTTTTACTTTTATTTTTAGGTAATAATATAAATTACAAATAAATAAGATTCTATGTGGAAGCTCCTTTGGTCGAGTGGTGTTGAGTAAGGGTTTCGTAATGCTTTTACACCAGGAGGTTTGGGGTTCGAACCCAAATAGCGTGATTTATTAATATATCTGCAGATTTATTAATATATCTGCAGATTAATAGAGACAAGTTTACATGAGATCTCCAGTGATGCGCAATTAGAGCCATTCGCCGTGATTCTAGCTATTGAAGAAGAAGATGGTGTCCAAGATCAGCATGAAGAAATAGGCGTTCAAGATCAGCAAAGAAGTGTTGTCAATAGTGAATGTAATAGGGTCGGAAGGAATTATCCATGGTAGATTATCTTTGTAACAATTCTCACAGTTTGCAATAATTAATAAATCTAAAGACGATAAAAAAAAGATTATATAAATATATTGGAGAGAGATTTGATTTATTAGAGAGAGATTTTTATTACAAAATGTACTTCAAAAATGTATAGATAGATACACATACCTGTAATTTATTTGCTTGATGTATATACAAATAATTATTTTTATTTTGAATTTAATCAAATTAAAATTAGTTTTGGTGAAAGTAAACATCAATTACGATTAGTGTTGAAGAAAACGTTAGGCGGTATCTAGATGTTAACCTAACGCCTAGCGCCTAGAACACTAATCGGAGCCTAAACGATTTTAGGCGGTTTAGGCGTTTGTAAAATAAAACATTATATATATGATATTATAGATAAAATTTATGTAAATGTACGTGTTAGAAAAATAAAATTAATAAATCGTAAACAAATTTCAGATAATAACAGTTATTTAATTTCTATCAATAACATATGAACGTTTAAATTATATATATAGGTGACCAAAAAAAAAAAAAAATTATATATATGGAGGTAAAATTTTGTTTTTTGAATATATGCAGATCAAAATTACAAATATACAACTACATAACTTTAGGCAGTCTAGGCGATAATAAAAATACAACCTACGTAACTTTAGGCGGTCTAGGCGGTCGTCGTAAGAAGACAAAACTTTCACCTTTCCTTAGCGGCTTAGCCAATCGCATTTAGATGATGTTTGTGTGAAAGTCATGCAAAACACACAAAAGGAATCAAAACAAACTTAAAGCTTGATTGGCTTTGTAAAATTATAAGGTGATATCACCAAAAACGGGCTAATTAGTTGGCTGGCAGTCTCAGTATCTCCTTTGTTGTTCTTAACCTGAAGTATGGCATATCCTTAACCTGAAGTATGGCATATCTTAACCAATCATGTTCAGAATTAGTATTACTTCTTGTTTAATACAGATTAGGATATGTTTTCTGACTATTTCTTTCAATTTCAGATGTAGCACTGACATGGATTCAAAAACA